TGGATGGCCTATTAGAATTATCTGGAGAACGGAGAGATAGAACATTCTGAAAATTGGGATGCTTTGATAATTGAACACTTTCTATCCGTCTGAAATATTTTCATCCATACAGTGTATTGCCACTTCTATCAGAAACAACTAGCAACTTTGTTATTTCAAATGGAACACCGTATATTTTATCACATTTTTAGATTTTTCCTGAAGAGCTGATTTCATCGATGCATCACACTTGGGGTCTAGCAGGAATGATTACAGAGATATAGGGTGTTCAAAATCGAGATTTTTCAATTTTAGGATTTTTTTTTGTCAAAAATATTCATTATCGATCAAAACAGCTAACATGTTCCTATCTTAACTTCTGATTCACCATCTACTGGAATTTAATTGGAAAAAATACAGGGTGCTTCAAGATTCAGAATTTTGATCACCCTGTATCTGTTCCAATTAAATGCCAGTGGATAGTGAATCGAAAGTAAGATAGGGACATGAAAGCCGTTTTGATCGAAAATGAATAGTTTCGACACAAAAAATCCTAAAATTGAAAAATCTCAATTTTGAACACCCCATATCTCTGTAATCATTCCTGCTAGACCCCAAGTGTGATACATTGATGAAATCAGCCCTCAGGAAAAATCTAAAAATGGAATGAAATACAGGGTGCTCCATTTAAAATAACGAAGTTGCTAGTTGTTTCTGATAGAAGAGGCAACATTGTATCGATGGAAATATTTTAGACGGATAGAGAATGTTCAATTATCAAAATCCCAATTTTCAGAATGCTCTGTCTTTTCGTTCTCCAGATACTTCTAATAGGCCATCCACCGTGGATCACCCTGTATATGTACATTTCAAATTTCGATACGATTCCATTCAAGTCTATGTGTTGAAGAATGGTATACCAAATTTCGAATAGTTTCGTATGAATAAGTCTCCACAAAATGCAGAATGTTTTTGCAACTCATTTCAATATGCCTCATCTGTATAATTTAACAAAGCGATTTATTCCATCCTGGATGAACATGAAATTTTGAAATATATGTGTTAACTCATAACAAAATGGCGAATATTTTCGCAATTTGTTGCATTTATATCCATTTATCATCGTCATATGGAAATACACCAAAGCAAAATACCAACCACGTGATGAATGCTTCCAAATATATTATTATACAAAAACACTTACCATCTTGGAAAAATACAACTTTCACACACTCAAACGAAAATACAAACAGTAAACCGAATATGAATTCCAATTTTCCAATCTTAAATATTTCAGTTCTTTTTTTCTATCATCACTTGAATCGACCGTACACGAAGAAGTCTAGAGCGATACTGCTGATTGCGATTGGTTTGATTCATCTTTCAAATGACTAATTCGTTACATCATCCTTTCAACCGATTAATTCCGAACAAGTATGACTAACTCCGATATCGATAGTAGGTACACGGGGTGGAGTGAAAAGAAATTTAAGGATATTTTGAATTCATATATTCAACGAATCAACGAAATATAGGCTAACGGACATTCCCATGATATCAGATTTCTGCTAATTCTTCTTACTGAAATTCTGAAAAGTAATAGGTGATTATATACCAATACGAGTTTTTGGAATTTTCCTGAAGTATTTTGAAATTCTATTCAATGTTCTTTTTCTAGCTATGATATATAACTCACCCACTATTTTTGTAATTCGTGAAATATGAACACAATTCCTTATTCACGAATCCCTCCTACTTTTTCACATATTATGAATTGCAGATACAGATTGGTTGCATTTCTATATTCCAGCAGAGCAAACCTGGAATCTAAGTAGTTATCATGAGCAATTCATATTTTCTTTAGAACTTATTCGAGTCCAAGACTTCTTTAGTTCTTATAACTTACTTTGATAACTACGAATAATATCTGAAAATCAATATTTTCAGTGATCAAACTATTTGGCCTGTTCACCATAATAGACAATAAACAAAATGGCTTGAATGGAATTGAATTGACTTTGACAAGGTTTACTTTGCCGTAGAAGAAAAAGTATCATGTCCTTGTATCCTGTATACATGTAAGCTACGCTATAAAGGTGGTGAAACGAAAATGTTGCACAAATAACATGAAAACTCTGTCTGAGATATGTCTGACAAACCTAAAATCAACATATCACAATATTATCTAATGATATTGATGTCAATATTGATGCAACGTCTCATAAATGTTTGCCTTCATGCACGATGTTCTTCGAACATTATAGGGATTCCCTCTCGTGCGCTCCAAGCGATAAAAAAAAATACTTCAGGAGGACATTATCGCAATGTTATTTCAACAATACTTTATAACTGAACAATATTATTGTTATGCATCATGTTCAGTGGGTTTGTGTAATTTTCGTTCGAGAGTGCTCAAACTAATAATGATGATATCATGATTGAGAGCCAAACTGGCCAAAATTTCAGTTTGTTGAAAGCCGAACAAAAATTAAATTGAATTAAACCATCATCCATTTTACTATAGAAAAAACTACCACAATCGTTATACACGCAATACACACAGCTCGTATTAGTTAATTAGTTATAAGCACGTGTTTTTGTTTTTCCTACTTTGTACCCAGTGAACCATTTTGTGTTTCTGAAACGTTCCTGAAACAAACTTTGTGAAATATGAAACATTTCACCTATATACTCCGAAACATTTATGAGACATTCTAGAGACCATTAATGACCTAGGGTGTGTAATGTTTCATTGAAATGTTTCAACCCAAATCTCCATGAAACATTCAATAAAGAGTATACATAAACATCTCTGAGATATTTCACTATTGCATTTCATGAAACGTTTCACAAATAGTGTCTTCGGAACATTTCCTTATTGCACTATTTGCAACATTTCCAACATGACTTTTTTGAAACATTTCCGATACATCTCACTTTTGCTGATAATGGAACATTTCAAATATGAAACCATTTTTAGTTCATACCAAGACTACATTACCACAGAAGTTGATCACTTACTCATAATGAAAGTGAACCCTAATTAACATCATGTGTAATGTAGTCAATTGGTATTAATATTTCAGGGTGAATAAAATAAAACTGCAGCTTTAGTGGATTTTTGTTGAGTTTATTATAATTTCATGTTTAATCATGTGCTCTGTATATTATCATTACCTTTATGTCATGTATCTGGAGTGCAAATATTTTGGTTGTTATTAGAAAAACAATTATTATTGATTAAAATAATTTGTCAACGATAAGTCACATCTTGATCATTCTCTGAACTTCATTCTTCAAGTAGAACAATAATAGATCCACCGCAGTGCCTCCCAACAATTTTATATTATGAAAACTTATTAAATTATAATAAAAAACCATATTTCATTTCATATTTTCTCTTTCTCTAGCTAACCTGGGACCAGATTGACGGAACCAGGCTGCTACATATCTTTCGAACTCCACGTCCATCACAGCAAACCTTTTTCTGACAGCACCTGAAAAAATTTTGAGATTTATTTGAAATTGAATTTCAAGCGCCTTTCTATGCAAAATAACCTGAAATTTCACATTTTTACATCAAGAGACCGGCATAACAATGTACAAAAAAGTTCAGGTTATTTTTGCCACTACCGCCCTCTACCTTCTATGTATTCAATTCTGGGCCGATTTCCATTCTATTCAATCAAGCATCGAATATTAAGTGAATGTACAGGTAAATCCACTCACCTTTTTCATATTCGTAGTTGTCATTATTAACTTTTAACATTAGCACTACCACCATCAGGCAATATCAATGGACGCTAAAAATGGCTTCACCGGAATTAGAACAACAAAAGAAAGAATGGCTTCGTCTTTGTGTTCACCCACTCTCTTCTCGGACTGGACAGTCGGAGCAAGTCGGAGCCGGCCGTGCTTGGTTCGGACTGTCATATGCCGATGTTGCCAGAGTAACCACCCGTCTTCATTGGTCACACTCAAACATGTGATTCATTATGGCCAATAAAACGGAATCATGAACCTGGCAACGTCGAATATGATGCATTTCAAGCAAATAGTAAACACATGTATTGAAACATTCCAGAGATGTTTCACGTCACGCATAACAACTGAGAAATATTTCACATACGTAAACATGGCGATGTTTCAGATGACACGTCTAGAGATTCACGTGAGACATTTCAAGCAGAGATTTTTTGTAACGGATATGAAACGTATGCAGTGACATATTTCTGAAATATTTCACATAGCATGGCGAGCTTCAGAAAGTTTTCCTTTATGTTAAAATTGAAATGTTTCAGATGACGCGTCTAGAGATTCACGTGAGACATTTCAAGCAGAGATTTTTTGTAACGAATGTGAAACGTATATATGTATTGACATATTTCTGAAATATTTCACATAGCATATATGGAGAGCTTCAGAAATGTTTTCTTCATGTTAACATTGGAATGTTTCAGATGACACATCTAGAGATTCACGTGAGACATTCCAAGCAATGAGTTTTTGTAACGAATGTGAGACGTATGTATTGACATATTTCTGAAATATTCCACATAGCATGGAGAACTCCAGAAATGTTTCCTTTATGTTAACATTAGAATGTTTCAGATGACACGTATTAGGGAACTTTTGAAATGTTTCTGAAACGTGTTGTGTTTACTGGGTACTGTTGTAGGTTGTAGAGGGGAGTCAGTAGTCAGTGGACAGGACAGTTCGAATTACGATATCTAGTTAGACAGTTTCGTAGTTTACAATGATTTCATTGCCCAACCCTAGCTACGCCACTGTGTCCGACCGAACGCTATTCTTGGCCAGGAGCGCCTGGGAGAGCACATGACCGCTTCGTCGCGCGCCGCTCAACCAACGCCTAGCCTACTCCTACTCGATCTAATCGACGCACTTCGCAAGAATCGCAAGTTCTGAGCTTCCACTTGCAGTCCAGTGCGCGGCCCGTACGCTCCTCCACCAATTGACAAGCACTCTTTCATACCCTCGACAGGCAAGAAACAGAAAGAAAAATGTCTCTCGCCGATCCAGTAGCTTTCATGAAGGATTTCCTCGCCGGAGGAATTTCCGCAGCCATTTCGAAAACATGCGTCGCTCCGATCGAGAGAGTCAAGCTACTTCTGCAAGTCCAGCACATCTCCAAGCAGATCTCAGAGGAACAGAGATACAAGGGTGAGTAGAAACAAACGCCCCCAAGTTTCCATTTCGCGGTGACTGCATGAACATTCACTGTAACTCGCCTACCCATTTTTTTTTCAGATGATTCAATTGTTATGTAAGCGTTTGCGCTGACATTTTGTTGAATTGAATTGTTACGTATTTGCATGGGGCATCACATGATGCGTCGACAGAATTTAGTATCTTATCGCAATACATTCTTTTTCCTTATCATGATTAATTACATGGCTCAATGAGTAGCGACGTGACTGATAATTCGCACTGAAGGCTAAATTAACACTTACTTATATATCTATTAACCTATTGTATAATTCCCTTCAATCATGTGTTGATATATTAACGTCAATAGAATGATTTTACCGGTACAAACTAGTATTGTTAGGATTTAAGTATCCACATTAAAGATCCTCCTATTATATTATGGCTAGTGCAGGTAGAGGCAGCTAGGTGGTTATGTCAAAAAATCAGGTCAAAAGCGCCATGACGAAGATTTGGATCGATACCAGACGATCTGAAATGGTGCCAAGAACACGCGTACTGTGTTTCTAGGGCACGTGTATTTCAATTATTACCGATGCTTCTATTACATAAAATTCAGTAGGTAGGTATATAAAATGGAACCAACCTCTTAATTCTAAACCTAGGAAAGATTATATACGACTATACTCACCCTGAAGTAATTAAAATATATCCCTATTCAGGGTTATTCAATTTACAAAGGTCGAAAAAGTTGTGCAGCTGCATAGAACCAACCACCTGGGCCACTTTGACCAAGAGGGAAAACGATATGTCACCCCCCATTGTTAAAAGGATGACATTACCACCCTCGCCCTATAGATATATTATACTAACTATCACTTTCCATATACCTGATGTACAATAAAATCCATTGATTCATTTTGAAACTAAAACCACATCAGAATTTGTTTTAAAGGTTGAAGTATAACCTCTTCTCAATGAACACCCTGTATGTGCTCTGGTGATGATATTAAGATGCAGTCTTAATGTGAGCTCATATTCTATAAACTGTTATGTGAGGTTTGAGAATTGAGTGATTTCCGGGAGAGTTGATTGAAAGTCATTCGGCTACATACGTTTTTTTGTACCAAATCAGCTTCTTTTTTATAGAAATGCAAAAAAATTTAGACTCTAACTACGCCACTGACATTCAGATTTACGTTTTTTTGTACCAAATTAGCTTCTTTTTTATAGAAATGAAAACAATTTAGACTCTATAACTACGCCACTGACATTCAGATTTGCGTTACCGACTCAGGAGAGAACTAAGGATATTTGATAGGAATCGAGTATATCGAGAAGAAATTCAAATTGGGATGATATGAGGAAGGTTTAGCAGGGAAAAAATAGGTACTACACTAATTAGGAAATAAAGGAAAATGAGAATCAAAGAACACATGGAAAATGAGAGGAATTACTGGGAAAGACTAAAGTCGAAAAAAGTTAATTAATAGGGATTAAATTAATTGAGAAAAAATAAATTAAAAATCAGGCAAATAATGGGAAATCGAGAAATCGAAAGAAAATCAGCTGAATAAACGAATCTAAACTGGGATACCTAATATGAATTAGTGGAATTCCATGGGAAATAGAAAATAAATAAATTGGTTGGAAAAACATAGGGAAAGGGAATGACATAATGCATAGAGAAAATGAACGAATAAAATGTTTCCTATTCAACTTTCGATACTTTCAGACCTAGGTTAACTCCCTGAAAATACAAGGTGTAATTTAATTGACGGCTGAAAATAAAGGATATGGTTCCTTAGCTCATTTCAAGAAGATAAGTTTATGAAATCTTACATGCACCTACTAAGCACCAATAGGTATTTTCTGATTCAGGATTTTTTTTCAATATTTCTACCAGAGGCTTCAGTATGGAATGTATACTGGAGATTTAAAACAAAATATATTGTACGCCCTTGCTTTTTCGAAGATAAAGATAATGCTTTTTGATCAACCACGTTGTCGTCTTATTTTGACAAGTATCCGTGAACGTGACCGTTTTCTAAATTGTGAAAATTTTATACCTATTAAACAGCGATATGTCATAGGTAAATCCATTCCAGGTTTCAACACGATATCGGTAACTCCCGTTTTCTGTATATAATTCTGGAAATAACTAATTTGAGAGTTAGATAACACGGTGTGACGCTAGCATAGCAGCAAACAAAGTCTACATGCAACCTTGAGAAGTCCAAACTTGCAATACATCTATATTTTTAGCGCTATATACCTATAATTTGTAAGTAGCAGTAGCAGTTTGATATTTTGGCACCTTCCATTGTCAACATTCAAGATCAAGCATTGACCAAAGGCACTGAAAGTGAAAAGATCATTTATATAAGTTCCTGAATTAGCTCAAAGGTTACTCCTAAGCTAACCCCTAACTCAAATCCATCAGGTCGTTTTAGGATCTAGAAATTCACATGGAGTATGTTTACATAGGTATTTTATTGTATTGTTTGAATCTTTTTTAATACCATATTATATGTAGTACCTATATTAGTATTGACACTATGATAGTATGATTATGTATAATAATTGTAAACATCACATTACTCCATCAGGCATCAAATAATAAATCAAATAGTCACAGGTAGGTACCCCAGTAAGCGAGGCTTTATAATACATACATAATTACTATACGTATAGGTATTACAATTCCTATTTTTACAATGAAACTTTTTAACCTTGGGAAAGAAACGTGTGTCGTCACATTTGATTTACATACCTAAGCCATAATGAGCTATTTTACTTATCACTTAACGGTTTTTCAGTTTTTGCTCATATTATGCTGGCTGATATGCTGATACACGAGCTGATACATTCAAGTGATGAACTAGAATTGAATTGGATTGATTGACCTAGGTACCTATTCTATTTTCCCCTTGCTTTTAATTGTTGGATATGATTAGAACAAACTTAACGTAACGTCATATGGATGGTCATGTTATTTTATAAATAAATCCTCATTAATATGCCAATGATCTTACAAAAAATGGTGGACTTAAATCGGCTTGTACAGTCGTCATCACAGAACATGTCGCACATGGACGGTGTCAGCTGCAGTAAGAGCGCTCATACCGTCCAACCGCGACATGTTCACTGAAGACGAGTGTATAGTTGAACACATTACACTGAATGGTATTAGTTAGATGAGAGTTCGGACACATCTGACCTTTGTTTTTTTCTATTTTCTATATTGTAATGGTTTCATTTCCGTATCATAACTTTTGATTTACTATCTACTGACATTTAATGATTGGAACAGATACTGGGTGATCAGAATTCTGAATCTTGAACCACCCTGTAAATGTTCCAATACAATGTCAGTAGATAGTAAATCAGAAGTTGAGATGGGGACATAGAAGCCGTTTTGACCAATAATGAATAGTTTCGACACAAAAAAATTTATGGTGAATCACCCTGTACTAACTTTCTTCGTTTTCGAGATAAAGGGTATTAATGATATCCATGAAAAATGTTTTTTTTTATTCATCACTCAATTGTCTTTTCATCAATTTCAATAAAACGTGGTTTCGTTAATAGTAATATGGAGCATCTTTTGGTGCAATTAGATTCAAAATAATATTTCCAGTGGCGTCACAGTGCGGGTAAATTTATTGATATTTATGGTAAATGTCATTGTACGCCACCGGTTTTTCAGTGATTCATATTTTTATTAGATTGAACTATTGAAATAACAACCAAATATTTTTAATTCTGTAAACTTTGTAACAACTATTTTATCCCCATTGTGATTTTTGTGTCTAGTTTAGTTTTTGGGGAAACAATAAAAAAAACGATTCGACTCCAAATTTAATGTAGGTGTTTTCGAGACTTCCATTGAGATTACTCAATAATCCCAATTACAATCATTTTGAAATTTTGGGGCTTTCTCAGTCTCCATCCATACTGAATTTTGGCGACATGAAAGCTTATACAGGGGGGCTATATATAAAAACAATTAATACTTCCAACTTCAACATCCTGTATCTCAAAAACGGAGCAAGTTAGAACACAATCATGTTTATATGAACAGGGTGATTCACCATAATTGTCCCCCCCCCTCTAGCTCACTTATTTTTGACCCGATTTAAAAATTTGAAGGATGATCTAAAATGATTTCTCAGAATTTTTTTTCCCGTTGCATCAGGAAATACAGGGTGCTCGGAACAAATGATCTACAGGGTACTACTCGATTTTTCCAAAAGGAACACCCTGTATTTCATTGTATTTTTAGATTCTTCCTGAAGAGCTGATTTCATCAATGCATCACACTTGGGGTCTAGCGGGAATGATAATAGAGATATAGGGTGTTCAAAATCGAGATTTTTCAAGTTTAGGATTTTTTTGTCTCGAAACTATTCATTATTGGTCGAAACGGCTCCTATGTTTCCATCTTAATTTTTGATCAACTGTCTATTGAGATTTGATTGGAACATTTACAGGGTGGTTCAAGATTCAGAATTCTGATCACCCTGTATCTGTTCCAATTATTAAATGTCAGTAGATAGTAAATCAAAAGTTGAGATATGGACATGAAAGCCGTTTTGACCGATGATGAATAGTTTCGTCTCAAAAAAATCCTTAAGTTGAAAAATCCCGATTTTGAACACCCTATATCTCTGTAATCATTCCCGATAGACCCCAAGTGTGATATATTGAGCAAATCAGCTTTTCAGGGAGAATCTAAAAATACAATGAAAAATAGGGTGTTTCATATAAAAAAATCAAATGGTACCCTGTAGATCGTTTGTTCTGAGCACCCTGTACTTTCTGATGTAAAAGTCAATCAAAAATCATTCAAGATGATATTTCAAATTTTGAAATCGGTTTAAAAATAACTGAGCTAGAGGGGGGGACATTTATGGTGAATCACCCTGTACTTTATTTGCTACAATATCACAAGGAATCACCCATTGAAGTTTTTTGGCGTTATTTAGATACACCCTGTAGAACAGAAATGCGGA